ACCTTTTGATCTCTGCAGCTGCTGGCCCTCACTCCCCGCCCCACGCAAGGCCAACCCCCGCCGGATCGCTCGGTCCCAAGGCCAGCCATCTGGACCGGCAGGAGATAAGGCCATTTCGCCTGGCTATTAAACCTTGAGAAAATGCTGATTTGATGCTTTTCGCTTCTGTACTATGCCTGTTTTCCCTTATAAAAGGACCCTCCTTCCGGGGCTCGGGACTTGGCAAAACAGAAGCTAAGTCCCGGATATCCGTGTTATTAATAAATCCTCTTGTTCTTACATCCAAAGTTCGTGGTTTCGCTGATTCCTGGGTGTGGGTCTTCTTCCACGAAAGAACCTCTCCGGGGGTCTTTCATTCCTTTCTTATCACACATAGCTCCCAGACCATCCTTCCCCCTACAGACTTGTGCAGATGTGTCATTCTCCCTGTTCAAAATCATTTGCAATTACCCCAGGATCTAAGTGAGAACAAAAGCCCAAACTCGGGTAATCTAGCCCATAATGCTCATAGCTCTTGGCTCACAAAGCCCTTGAGTGTGGTGCCTGCTCCCAGCTGCTACATAGCCACAGACTGAAGTACTTAAAAGGGAGGATGAGAAAAACCATGTGAGATTAGACTTTTACCTTTATCCTACTTAAGAGAAGTTCAAAGTACTTCAGTACCCTTTCAAATTTACTGGAAATAGATTAGAAACAGCTTTGCTTCCCCAGGTCCTTCATTCCAGAGATAAGGCTTTTATCAGTTCAATTATAACAAAATTCCACGTATGAATGTCCTCCTATAGTTTTCTAGAACAGGATTTTAATGCCAGGAAGGAACTAAGCCACTGATTTTCCAATGGCTTTTGGATTGTGTTTAAACTCAGCCTATAGGCACTGTCATGATAAACCCATCACAAATGCACCCAGGAGGGAAGGAGGCAGTATCCTGTTTTGAACTGAACAACAAAAGAGGCCTCAGCTTTGCTCTGGATCTATCCAAAATAGGCCAGTTGTCAATCAGCAAGTTGTTTATCTTTGCTGAATTTCAGGGTTTTTTTTTTTTCATCTGTGAAGCAGATGGAAAAGATCTCTAAGATCTTTTGCCCTGACCTGAAGGGGCAGTTGCTGGGAACAAATGGGTAGACAGATCGATGCAAATGTTTGCATTCATTCCAAGGTTTTAATTAAATCAGTTCAAAGTCTACTTATTCTTTTAGTTCCCTAGTGATGATCAGTGGATGTAAACCCCTTGAGCCACTCCTTGCCCCCATTTCTCTAAGGGCCTTAAAGATGGAGATGCTATGCCCCACCCCCAGACTGCCCTGACTGCCTGGCACAGCCCCTAGAGGTAGGAGAGTGTCCAGGCCCCATCCTACAGAAAAAAAAAGCCCAAGATTAGGTGACAATATCCCACCAAACCCTGAGTTTGCCCTGAGATCACGCCACAAAATCCCCCCAACCCCAGGCCATCCTGAAAAGCTCCACCCCACCCCCAAGAAACCCTATTTAAAGCCTGCTCTCTTCTGAGTTCTTTGTTGCTTCTCTCCTGAGCAGAGGCAGACACCCTCTGTGTCTCTCCCAATAAATGTCTTGTGTGAGGTTTGTTTTGCAGTATGACTTTGTGGTATTCCTTGGTGCCTGGCTGCCAGGACACTTTTCCCTTCAGAGTTGTAACACTTAGAGTGAGTGTTACCCATCAGGGCATAAGCTGAAGTCAGCCGCACAGTCCTTGCTTCTTGAAAAAAATCCTTGCCTCTCCCCCTCTACCAGGACCTTCCTGGCCTTAAGTCTGGATGACTATAACATGCTTAATTTAGTCCTGGCCTCCTCCTGAGAAAAATAAATATTAAATGTGAACTGAAAACCACACATGTAATAATATTGGGATTAATGAGGTGCTGAATTGTATTCTTACTTTGCTGTTGTTGGCAAGTATGGTAGTCAGCTGAATTCCAAACTGTGGAACCATCTGCAAAACAGAAATGCTAGCCCGAAGCTTTACATTCTTCATGTGATGTTTACCTTGCTGAAGCATGTGTATAGTGTGGTCCCAGGATTTCTGGAAAACCTCCACCAGTAGCCCCTATGCTTGATCAGCCACAAAGAAAAGCAAAGGGGCAGGGGAGAGAAGTGAAAAAGGAAAGGGATAGAAATGGGGAAAAGAGCAAAAGGAAACGATTGTTCTCACCTGGCACCAGTAAAGGTAGCCAGGCAGAGTTGTCTGTCAGATCATTATTGATAACTAAAATGTAAACTCTCATTGGGTTCCAAAATCACCTGGTCCCCATGCAGTGCTCAAAGGGGATATGTATCAACCCTCATGGGTCCTTTTTCTTACATATTCATTCCGGGACTTCTGTGGAGAAAGTATTTTTAATCCCATTACACATGTCAACAAGCCATATTTTCGAAAAGTAAGTGACCTGGACGTGAAGGCTTGTGTCTCTAATGCAAGCAATAGGTAGGCTAGAGCAGAGGATTGCTCCAATCTTGAGGACAACCTAGACTACAAAGTAAGAGCTTGTCAAGACAGAAATAGGAGAGGGGAGAAAAAGGAAGAGCGGGGAGGGGAAGGGGGCAAGGAAAGAGGGTGGAGAAGAAAGAAGAGTAGAGGTGAGGAGAGATAAGGAGAGGATTGGAGAGGTGAGAAGAGACCAGTGAGTCATTCCAGTCACAGAGTTGGAAAGCCAGAGTTTAGAGTGAAAGACCCCCGGAGGCTCAGGCCCCCAGGATCTTGACCCAGGACTGTGGCAACCCCAATCACTAGGCAGAGGCGAAAGCTTGATGCAAACAGCAAGAGGCTTCATTGCAGTTGTTTAACGAGCTAACCCCATTAGCTCTGGCCTTTCATCCACCCACCATGGCAGATGGCTGGGGAAAAAGACCCTGAGAAGCCATGGGACAGAGATCTTATAGGACAGCTTAAGGGAAGTGTCTAGAGGTACGCACAGGCTCAGGATTGATGTGCCTCCTGGCTTGGAGGACTTGCCCTGTGTTGATTGACCAACTAGTTGTTATGGCCCATAGGCCCTCCCAGGGCGATTGCTATGCTCTGCATGTCATTGCTGTGCATTTGTCCCCAGAGGTGTAAAGCATAGCACCAGCTAACTTCTGATTGGTTCCTTGCCATGAGGCAGGCATCTGACCTCCTAGTGACCAAGGCAAGATCAGGCAAGCACGTGTTAGGCTGTTATGGCTGCCAAAATGGGGAGCTGGTCCCTTCAAGAGCAAGGCTTCCTGGCCCTGGCGCTGACTCTGGATCTAGTAATCAGTGCAAATATCACCCATTCGCACCCTTAGAAATTCAAGAATGCATGCTAAAATGTGCAGTTCCTATTGTGCCTTTTGGTAGATGAAACTGAAAATTGGAACTACACTTGTAAAAAGTAATTCATACTATGTGATAGACCCTTTTGAACATTTATACCATGTGACTATAATTTCACTTATATGACTCTTTCTGAAAATATTACCAGAGGTACAAATTATTGCTCGAGATTTATGCAAAAGATGCTTATTATTGTAATATTAGAACAGTGAAATGCTGTATACCCTGTCCCCTCTGCAGGGAATTAGCCTAGTCAGTACAGCAGAGGTCCAGTTAGGTCAACACAGAGACTTAATGTGTTGTGCATTCCCACCCTCTGAGTAGAGATGTGAAGTAACTGATACACATGGACCCTGAAGTAATAAAAGCTTCAGCTTAAGCCCACAGCTTGAGATCTGTACAATATCTATACAGAGGGATCTGGGGAGACGGCTCAGTGGTTATTAGCATTTGGTGTACTTGCAGAAGTCGTGGGTTCAGTTCTTAGCACCCACATGGTGGCTAACAATGGTAACTCCAAGTCCAGGGACTCCAGTGTCCTCTTCTGGCCTCCACAAGCATCAGACATGCCTGAGGTACACATATGTATACTCAGGTAAAATGCCCATACAGATAAAATAAAAACAAAAGCTATACAGATACATCAGGCAGATTGATTACAGAAGTAGATATTTCAGAGAGGGAGAATTAATCAAAGAAGAGATTGAGAGTGAAAAGATTGGCTTAGCAATAAAGCTTGAGGTTCTAAGAGAAACCACTGGTATAACATGATACAACACTAGAGATAGAAGGGCAGCGTTTGCGAAGGCAGAGAATTGCCTCTCCGATTGCTGCACAGGTGACTTTGCTGTGGTGTCTCATCTGTGATGGTTGATATTGATTGCCAATTTAACTGATGTAGAATCACTAAGGAGCAAAGTGTCTGGGTATGTCTGTGAGGGAAATTCTAGGTTAGCTAAGTTTAGATGGGAAGACCCACACTAAATGTGAGCAGTACCATTCAATGAGGTGGGGTCCTGGACAGAATAAAAAGTAGAAAGCAAGTTGAACACCAACATTTATCTCTGCTTCCTGTCTGTGGATTTAATGTGAGCAATTGCCTCAACCTCTTGGTTGCCATGATTGCCCTACCATGCTGCACTGTACCCTCAAACTGTGAGTCATAATGAACTCTTACGTTGCTTTTGTCCCATGTATTGTTATAACAAGGAGAAATGTAACTAATACACAGCCCAGCACAGAATATATCTAGTATGAACATGTTGCTGGTTGACTGACAGATGTAAGGACTGTCCACACTGACTCTTAGAATTTTTGCTTCTGTGTGCAGAGGCTGACTGAGACAGAGATCCTTTCCAAAGAGGGTGACCAAGGCTGGACTAGATCTCAGAGATACAGAAACCAACAAAGTACTGTGAGCCAAACTGATGGTTGCAAACCCATAAGGTGCCCTTTGCTTTTCTTCTAATACCCAAGAAGGACACCACAAGGGACTAGAATTTCTAAATGGACCTTACAACTTATACAATGTAGATATTCATATTATAGATATTTTCATCAGAATCCATAGATGGCAAGGCCTGGGATTTAAAGTTTATGGGTTTATAGTTCTTTCCTTCTTCTTCATTCTTCTCTGCTTCCTCCCCATCCTCCTTTTCTTTCGTCTTCTCTCTCCCTTCTTTCTTTCTTCTATCTTCAGGGCCTTGCCATGTAACCCAGACTGGCTTGAATTTATGATCCTCCTGCCTCAGGCTCTTGAGTGCTGGAATCACAGGGGTGTGCCATCAGGCCTCACTCCAGGTTT